GCAGTTTAAACAAAAGAATGATTGGCTACAGTTCAGAGCGGCATTAGGAAAGATTAGTAGAGACTGAGGGAAATATCCAGATAAACCTGTTAAAGGAACAGTAACCTAAAAAAAAGGTTCTCTGAGTAAAGTATATCTAAAGCCAAAACTTTATTATTTTTTTATCATTTTGGATAGAGTAGAGAATTTAAACTGCCATCAGGTTTTTATCGTATCTGCGTCTCATTATAGAGATTTCCCTCTACTTCCTGTTCAGAGGACTCAACAGAAAGTGAGAGGATATCTTGTCACTGTTAGAGCCTAAATACAGCTTTGCTGTAGTTGAACCACTTCAAGTCTGGACACTTTTACCCCCTTCCTGTCCAGGCCAATTTTCAGCTTTCAGCGCTATCACACTTTGAATGACAATTGTGCGGTCGTACAACACTGTACCCATATGAATTGTTTAGCATTTTTTGAGACAGATAAAACGTTATTTTTGTTGTATTTATTCACTACTGAGTTTTGTATTTTTTTTGCTATATAAGTGAAAAAGTCCAAAAATTAAAAAAAAAAAAATAGTTTTTCTCATAACATTTTGCAAATAAATAATATTTCTTCATAAATCTTGGCCAAAATTTATTCAGTTATCTTTTTAGTAAAAAAAATAACCCAAGTTTGTTTATAACCAAAAATTATAATTTTTAAAACATTTTTTTACATTTTTATATTTTTTTTTATATTAGTAATGTTTTTTTTTAACATACTGTCACCCTAGCAGTACAGTGTCACCATGGTGACACTGTACTACTTGTGGGGGGGTGAGGAAGATTTTTTTTTTTTACACTGATCTCTTTTACACCTATAAAGGATGTAAAAGCAATAATTTCTCTTTCTCTCTGGCTGCATTCTTGCAGCCATTGAGAAATACTGTGAGAGCTGTGATTGGTCACAGCTTGTCACATGTTACAAGGCTGCTGTGAATAGCCTTGTACCATGTGACCTCTGTGATCATTCACAGATTTCACAAGTAGTAAGCAATGATGTCAGCAAGTGACATCTTGCTTACTACTATTCATGTGATCAGTGATTGGCCAATCAGTGATTACATGATCGGGACCTCCGGACACAGCGGGCACCAGATCGCAGTGCCGCGTGCTCCAAGGGAGCGCTCACAGGCTGTAAGTGCGGGCGGCGCCGTTTATGAACGGCAACCCGCTCTTGCACAAGTGGTTAAAGAAAAGCAGTCCCAAACAATCTATTTCCTTTACATGACATGCACCCGCTGTCAGAGCTGTATATTGTATCAGCTATATATAGTATAGAGCAGTGTTTCTCAACCTTTTTTCAGTCAAGGCACCCTTAAAAATGATGGACAGTCCTGAGGCACCCTTTAAAATTATGGACAGTCTTGAGGCACCCCATTCTAAAATGGGGTGCCTCAAGACTGTCCATAATTTTAAAAGAGCACACCATTCCAAATGTGAAAAGATGTATATAAGGCAGCAACATTACACACGTAGGACACCCAACATTAGAGGTGATTTATTCTTCCAAAGCAAATACACTTTTTGGAGGGTCCAACTTGGATGCTGTGCAGGCAGCTGACATCCTCCTTATCAACTGATGATGTAATTGGTTGTCAGGAACTCGGCAGCTAGAAGGTCGTAATGGTGCACAATGAAAGCCTGTGGCTTTATGTAACTAAAAGGCAGGCTTGCATACATGTTTTGGGCAATTTTTAGACATTTTGCCAAGGCACCCCTGAAGAAACCTCAAGGCACCCCAGGGTGCCTGGGCACCCTGGTTGAGAAAGACTGGTATAGAGTGATGTGTTCCGACAGCAGAACAGACGTCCTATCCCAGTCCTGGAACAAAACTGAACTGGGCTGTCCAGCCATTCACTGGAAGCCTTGTATTTTTAATAATGAATACAAGGCTTCTTGTGATTGGCTGAAGTAGAGATCATGACTTATCGCTTCACCAACTCAGCCATTCAGAGGAAGCCTTGTGTTCATTTATAAAATACAAGGCTTCTTGTGAATGGTTAACAGTTCTTGGCCTGACACAATTTTGTTTCGGGAAGGGGTTGGTAAGTCCCAGTACCTCTGCAGTAACACAGTGCTGTATACTGTATATAGCTGATGCTACATACAGTTTATACAGCATCCACGTGCATTAGTAAAAGAATTAGTTTGTTTGGCCCAGCCAGAACTACACAAACTATTTAAAGTGATAACAAAGCTGGAGTTAGGCTTTAAACCGCTTCCCGACTGTCCTATAGCAGAAGTACTGCTACAGGGCAGCAGGGATGCGCTAAATCACGTATATATACGTGATTTTGAATTTCTGGGTAGGGCTCCTTGGTATGTCAATCACCTTGGCATGCAAATCAATGGGTCCCGGCTGCCGATTCCCTCGGCCCAGACTCGGGGATTGTAAGCAGAGCTGTCAGGGGAGAGGTCTGTATGTAAACAACACAGATCTCTCCCCTGTCAGCAAGAACAGGCTGCTTTGTATTGCTCTGCACAGCACAGCACAGCAATACAAAGCAGCTTGTCTACACAGTAAAACACACACAGATCACTGTTAACCCTTTGATCGCCCCAGATGTTAACCCCTTTCTCCCCAGTGTCATTAGTACAGTGTCAGTGCAATTTTTTAGCACTGGTCACTGTATCAGTGTCACTGGGGATTTCAGTGGCAGTTAGTCAGTTCCCACCCAGTATCAGAATGCCCACTGCAGTCCCGCAGTCGAACAATAAGTCGTTGATTGCCACTATTACTAGTAAAAAAAAATAAATAAAAAATCCCAGTATATATACCGCCATTTGTAGATGCCGTAACTTTCACATAAACTAATTCATTTACACATATTGGGATTTTTTTTAGCAAACACGTAGCAGAATACATTTTTTTTTTCAAAAGAGTTGGTCTTTTTTTGTTTATAGCACAAAAAATAAAAAATGCACAGTTGATAAAATACCACCAAAAGAAAGCTCTATTTGTGGGAAAAAAAGGACTTAAATTTCATTTATGCACAACATTGCATGACCGCACAATTGTCAGTTAACCACTTGCCCTCCGGAGGACTTATCCCCCTTCCTGACCAGGCCATTTTTTGCATTACGGCGCTGTGTTACTTTAACTGACAATTGCAACGCTGCACCTAAATGAAATTTATGTTCTTTTTTCCCATGAATTGAGCTTTCTTTCACTGGTATTTGCTTGCCTGTGTGTTTTTTATTTTCTGCATTATAAAAAAAAAAAAAAAAGACTGACAATTTTGAGAAAAAAAAACAATATTTTTAACTTTTTGCTATTAAACATGTCTAGTAAAAAAATTTAAAAAATCTAATTTCATCATAAATTTAGACCAAAATGTAATCTACTACGTGTCTTTGCTGAAAAAAAATTAATTGTGTAAATTAATTTTTTTACGTGAAAGTTATAGTGTTTAGAAATGGCGGTATATATACTGGTATTTTTTTTTTAATTCTTAATAGTAATGGCGGCGATCAACGACTTATAGTGGGACTGCGGTGGACATTCTGACACTGGGGGGGAACTGACATCCTCAGTGACACCAATACAGTGATCAGTTCTAAAACAAAAGCACTGACACTGTACTAATGGCAATGGGTAGGAAGGGGTTAACATGAGGGGCGATCAAAGGGTTAACTGTGTGGTGGGAGTGTTTTACTCTGGGGTGGTGTCTGTGTGCTTCACTGTAAGCACACTGATTTGGATGCCTGTGCTGTGCAGTGTGCCCGAGCTGACAGGGAGGAGGACTGTAAACAAAACAGTTCTCTCCATCGGAGATCCTCGGTAAATGGCTTTTTGCAGATCTAGCAAAAGAATCACCTGAGTTAGTAGCTACTCATGTTATTCAAGATGATCATGGCACACAAGAGGTATGTAGCTGTTTAGATAAGTATTATTTATAATTTCAGGTACTTATATAGCGCTGTCAATATACACAGCACTTCACATATATATTGTACATTCACATCAGTCTTTGCCCTCAAGGAGCTTACAATCCAAGGTTCCCAAACTTTCATTCATACGCATACTAGGGCAAATTTAGACAGGATCCAATTAATCCATCAGCATGTCTTTGGAGTGTGTGAGGAAACTGGAGCACCCGGAGAAAACCCATGCAGGCACAAGGAGAGCATGCAAACTCCAGGCAGGTATGTATCACCCTCTAGTGTGGTGTAGGTAAATCTAATCTGTATGACTATGGTAATTGTGTGAGTCTGTGATTAGGATCGGATTACTGCAGGTCAAGATGGATGGCTTAACAGGTTGAGGCTATCACCTCCACCTGGCTCTGGAGGACCATGGAACCTTCCAGAAGCCAGTGAGCGGAAGAGATGGAGACCTAGTCTGCATGTTTATGGGAGCCTAACCAATACCAGATTTGGATTCCCTAGTAGAGTGGTGAGACCAACCCATAAATATGGGATAGTCAAGTCAGCAAGGGAGTCGGGTGGAAGATGGAGTGCTGAGGAGAATGTCGGTGGCCTAGGAGGGGTCCCCTAGGTCTAAGGGAGCAGTCCTCCAGGCTGGGCTCGGGCTGGCTCAGGAGGATCCATTCAGCATCAGGGCATGAACAGGATGAAGCCCTTGGAGCAGTGGGAGCAAGGAGGACAGAGTGAGTACATCAGCACACCCAAGGATTTACAAGGGGAGAGACTGTCACATGTAGCAAGCTTTCAAAGCACAGCACTAAGCCTTATCCTTTATCTATGTCCTGGGAGATCTTCAGAGCAGCCAGGAGGGCTGGTAGTGTCTGCAGGCTGTGGAGCTGGGAGCAGTTCTCCAAGGGAGAGGAGACATCTCTGCATGTAGTTTGCAACAAGCTAAGCTAACTTTATGGGGAGCTGAGAGTCCCTAGCCTGTAAGGGGCAGTTTTTACTGATCCAAAATGACTGACCACTTTCAAGGAAAAGAACAGTCCAGGATTTGTTTCTGTAAATAAGGAGGAAGGAAGTTGTCCCTGTGCATTGATTCAGTTAACCTCCCTGGCGGTATTCCCGAGTGTAGCTCGGGGTAAGGTTTCAGTACCACAAGCGGTAACCCCGAGCTACACTGGGGAATACCATGCGGCGCTGCTCCGGGATCCCTGTATCACTTACCTTGTCCTGCGCTCCCACGATGTCCCTCCTGCAGTGTCCCCGACAATGTAATCCGGCGGATGCCGGCATCTGTCATCTGGGTTCCGTCCCCTGTGAGCGTCGGGACATACGGGGGACGGAACGGCGGGAAATTCAAAAATGACAAAAAGTGACATTCACTAAAATCACTAAAATCACATAGTATTCCATTACTGTATCAAACCATTTCACATACATTTTGTCCCGAGTGCTTTGTTCTGTGTCCTGCCTGCATTTTTACTGTTCTTATTGCCTGGAAACTGAGAAATGTCCATGGTGTCCAAAAAGCATCACTTTAGGTCAAAAGCGGTTTTAGACCAGCTAGAGAACAGCGATAGTAAATCAGAACCACTTGCAGAATTGAGTGATAATGATTTGTGGGGAAATTCGTCATCAAACAGTGAAAACGATTTTGCGACTTTGCTCAGTGATGTGCGAACTTGGCGCTATATTTCAGATTTAAGTTTTTTTGGTTTGATTATATTATTAAATTAAATTTATTATTATTATATTATTATTTTTATGATTATTTATTAAATTATAAATTTATGATTTAGTGTTTCAAATTTTATCCTACCCGGGATGTTTACTAGACTCTTGTTCGGACAGATTTCAATGAGTTATTCCTAAAAATTACAGCCCTACAATAAAAAAAAAAAACATATTTCCATGCAAAATAATGGTACCGCTTTCAGCACCAAAAATCTGAAATAATCATACCGCCAGGGAGGTTAAGTTGGGCATCCTATAATTCCTATTACCCTATCCAATTTACATTCCCCAATAATATATCAAAAACCAAGCTCATGAACTGTTCACTGACTGTGGATGCAAGTGTGCAAAATGCATGTTGCTTGGCTGTGCAAAGCTTAGAGGGAGCCTTAAACAAAGCAGCCTTCAAGAGGGTAGCGCTACCAGTAGTGACATGGTTGGAATTCACACAAGCAAGCCTAGCGCTCCCAGGTGGAAGTGCTAACCACTTAGCCACTGTGCTGCTTAGCCGCAGCACAATTTGCAAGAGAATATGAGCAGAGAGATTTGTAGGTACTACAAATTTCTCCTGCAAAGTTTGTAATGTGACATGTCACTCTCGCACCATGATGGATCAGTTGAAGAGGGTTTTGAAGTAGAGGCATTACCTTCTTTTAATTAAGAGGTGCCAGATTAGGTGGCTTGGACATCCCTTAAGTAAGGCTTACTCAACCTTTTTTTAATCCTGAGGAATCGTTGAAATCAATTTTCGGTTTTTGGGAACCCCTGCTGGGCATTTGAAGTGAAGTGGGTAGGCGTGGTGCTTACCTAATTGGTCGAGCAGCCAGGGTGAATAGGAAGAGTAAGGGAGGATAGTTGTAGGGGAGGAGTGGTGTAGAGTCACCCTAAGATCAGAAGTCAATGAAAGAACGTCCCTCCCACCCTATTTCTCCTGTTATTTCAGTTGGTATTGGTTTTATGGCTTGGCGGTTTGGGGTGCTTGACAGGGATATAAAAATGGTGTTTCTTGAGTAAACGGTGGGACCCATCTTAGGTATGGGGCCCTCTAGTTTGTTCTTGTTGTATTCAGAGTGACTGAGTAGTGGTAAGATCAGTAGGTGTCTGAGGTCATCTAGGATAGTCCCCAGGGTGATGTTTGGTGGCTGGCGAACTATAACTTAGCTAAAGGTGCCACAGGCACAATGTTTGGTTTGACAGAACTGTCAAGGACCTGTAAACTTTGTTGACTGGAATTGTTATATTTTGGTTATGTTTTTTGTTATTTAAAAAATATTTGAACATTTTAAGTCCATTTCTGAGTAGTGTAAGTCTTTGGAGGGGTTAAAGGGAGGTGGAGTTGGGGGGAAGTTATGGAGGAGTATGACATTCCGGTGAGCTCTGAACTACCTTGGTCATGTTGGCACTGTATCTGCTACTAATACTGATATGTGTAAAGAAAACCTTAAAGCCCCTTACCTCTGTGTTGGGAAGGGGATCACCAATTCACTACAGTGGAAACTGTGAAAGGCAATGTGGTCATCAAGGACTTTGCTGAATAATGGCCAGCACAGAGGTCCTGCACTGCCCTTATGAAGATCAACCTCCATCAGCCCCTTTGATTTGTTATTTGCTCAAATGTACCAACAAATATTATAACTAAGATGCATGAGGGTGCAGTACAAGTCTTCCAATCAAACTGCACAGCAGGTGCATACCTTATATTTTTGGTTTATTGTTATCAAGGGGGCCCTTTACACTGGAGTAGCTTGACTTTTACAGGATGCCCACAAGACAAGGCTAAGGGACAAAAACTTGACTTTTGTGTTGAAGCTTCCCCTGCCTCAGTACAAAAGCTGTATGTTAATATGGAAAATATTTTTACCATGCCTTTAGCTGTCAATATGCTTTTACTGCCTAGATCTCTCTATGTGGAAACATCTCATTTAAAGGCTTCAAGATCTACTCCTGCCAAGAATTTGGGATTAATATCAGCGAAAGTAGAGGGAACACTGAGATTTCAGATAGTTTATTGCTTGGCCATTTTGATGTTGAGGTAAGTGATGAAATTTAATCTTTCCGCTCAGAGTTAGCAGGCATAAATAACCTTTTGACAGTTCCACTAAGACCAACCCGTCCGCTATGCTGTTGCCATATCAGAAAACAAGGCGAGTATAGCTCTAAGCTGTGGAGACAAATTTGATAAAAGTAAGATTCCCAGCTTCACTTTTACTCATGTCTCAATCCTTCAGCATGTTTAATAACGGCAAAAAATATTGTATTTTATTAGCTCAACTAATAATAACACAGTGTTTTTTTGTCCTGGAGCATATAGGTGATGGCTTGAACTGTATTTCATTATTTTACGCTCTCTAGGGATTAGTGTGATATACAAAATCTTGGGGATAAGCATAGCATACAGAATATATATACTACTTCTGGGAAATACTTCTTGGCGCTTGATATGTATGGCTTGTTGTATGCTCATTAGAAATGGGTAAAAATCCACTTCAACATTGGCTTGACAGGAGGTGAACTTGATTTGAACTGATGTCCATGGGCCTCATAATGAGTCTGGCCAAAATGATACACAAGTTAATTTTTGCTTTTCATGCCTCCCCATGCCACAAATGTATTTCTTTTTGGATAGTGTAGGGAAGGATTAGAACCTCTGTCAGGTTTTCATTGCCTTTTTGATTTTGGGAGATATCCTTTCATGTCCTGCCCTGTAACCACAAAAAGCAAAGAGTTTGCTTTCCAATGAAGGTGCTGACAGTGGTTCCACTCTCCCCTCACTCTGTTCAAAATTCAAGTATTCAAAGTATATTTTTCAATATGATAAATACTTCAACTGTGCAACAGGAATAACAATGCACATACCTTTCAATCTCATATCAAGCCCACATGGATACCTGAAATCAAGGGTACTTTGATACACAAATACTGAGAAATATTTGGCCCACTCCCTTCTACCATTTCTGCCTTTATGATTGGTTACTTTGTCTGTCAGTCATGTTTAAAAACTAATGCTGAAACAGGAGTGGATGGGAGGGATTGTCAAAGTAAATTACATTGGATTTTATTGAAGAGGCTGTAAAGTTGGCCTGTTCTTACTATGCACAGTTGGGTTGGCAAACATTCATGTAGGCATAAAATGTAATGGCACAAAAGTTCTCATCAGTGAGTAGATTGTTCAGTGGCCAGATCCTGCATGCATTGCTCTCTGTCTGTAGGCAGCTTAAGGCTCTGACTATAAGCTGAACCATTGCCAGAACCATAGTAATCAAAGGAGAATGTTCAGAGCAATGGTGAATCTATGTATCTAGGAGAGGCAACCATTGTCAAATCACTCTATGAGTGAGGCCTAAAATCATGAGTTCAAAAATTTCACAATACATGGGAGAGAAGTAAGATAGAAAAGTTTAACTAAAAAATGTGAAGATTTATGTGTCGCACACCAAAATTACAATGGAGTTGCCCCCTCATTTGTGGCTTTCACTCTTTTGGGAAGGCTTTCAACAAGATTTTGGAACATGTCTGTGGGAATTTATTCCCATGCAGCCAAAAGAGCATTTGTGAGGTCAGATCTGATGTTGAAAGAGAAGACCCCAGCAATCGGCACTTCAATTAATCCCAAAGGTGTTCAGTAGGGTTGAGGTCAGGACTCCTCTACACCAAACTCATCAAAACACATGACTTTGAAGTGTGTCTGTGGGAAATTGTGAAGTATGGATGTTGTCACAATTAGGGTGTCAATTCATCCTAAAGTTCAGTAGGGTTGAGCTCAGGACTCAAAAGTTCCTACACACCAAACTCTCCAAACCATGTGGTTATGAAGCTGACTTTGTACCCAGGGGTACAGTCTTTGTGAAACAGAAAAGTGCCTTCTCCAAACTGTTTCCACAAGGTTGGAAGCACAGAATTGTCCAAAATGTTTATGTATGTTGTACAGTTAACGGTGTCCTTCACTGGAAACCCCTTGAATGCAATCATTTTGGGGGGAAGCCTACATATGTTTGGTCAGATGTGCACCAACCTTTGGTCATAAAGTACAGCTGCACACAGCTTGGAGTCAGATTACAAGCATCCATTTATTAGTAAGGAGTTTTCAAGTGAGACAATTTTACATGCATAAGGCCTCTTGCTCACTGGGCATTTAGCCCCCCTGCATGAGGCCCTGGCGTTCTTACTGTCATAGAGTCTGACAGGCTGTTGGCAGAAGGTCTGGAAGGTGCACTTGTGCCCCACTCCAGCAGCCTAATGACATAGCCCCATGCAGAGTGGCTAAACGCCCTGACGACCTGAAGACATGTCCGAACTGCAGCTATTATTATAACAATTAGGGCCTATTTACACCCCTCTGTCTTAGCGTATACCTTAAAGCTTTGTTCGTTGATGTATCAAGGCAGGCATTCTCTTTGAAGGCATATCAAGACATACATGGACTTCTTTTGGGTAACAGTGCTCTGAAACATATGTATATTCCTATACAGGTGTTACAGAGCACTAAAGTACAGTGGTTTGGTTGATACTGCATATGGGCATTGGGTTGCCATTCAGCACATACGTACAGCACATATGCACATATACAATCATTTGTAGTGCATTTTAGTATAACATGGGTGACATTTAGGGAAAAATGGCCTATATCAATTTTTCCAGAACAGAAGAAGACAAGAATGTGCAATAAAATTTGCTTAAAATTTATATAGCCCACCTGGCTCAATCAG